TTACAGTTGTAACTACTTTCTGATCTAAACACACACTGATTGTACTGCTCATCTTGCTGGTGAAGCTATGGCGAATGTGGACAATGAGTTGCCTGAGAAGTTAAGTCACAATCATCCTCTGTTTTTACATACAATTGACAATTCTGGAGTATTACTCAGCTCAATTCAACTAACCGGAGTTGATAACTACTCTGTATGGAGTCGCGCTATGAAGATTGCAATTCTAGGGCGTAATAAGTTGGGATTCATTGACGGTTCATGTAAAAAGGAGGCGTATGGTCCTAATTTGACAAATCTATGGGAAAGGTGTAATGCAATTGTACTTTCATGGATTATGAAATGTGTGTCGAAGGAATTACTTGGAGGAATTGTTTACTCCACAAATGCAACTGCTGTGTGGAAGAATCTCCAAGAACGATATGATAAGGTTGATGGAAGTCGTATTTTTCAGCTTCATAAAGAAATTGCCACAATTAGTCAAGGTACAAGTTCAATTTCAGTCTATTTTGCTCGATTAAATGAACTGTGGGTAGAGTTTGATAGTTTAGCACCAGTTCCTGCCTGTGACTGTGCAAACTCAAGAGATTTTTTATATTTGTGCATAATCAGAAGTTATTGCAATTCCTTATGGGTCTTAATGAATCATATGAAAAAGCTAGAAGACATATCCTACTGATGATGCCATTACCATCTCTCAATAAGACTTATTCTATGTTAATTGAAAGAGGAAGTCAACGAAACATTTCACAATCATCTGCTAGCTCGTCCGAGTTGAATGCTTTGTTCACTAGTCGAAATCCAACACAATCAGTGCCTAGGTCAAGACTATCACACACCTCTACCTATGATCCAAATGCCTTTTGTGATTACTGCAAACGCACAAGTCATACTCAAGGTATTTGTTATCAGCTTCATGGATATCCCCCTGGGTATGAAAGGAAGAAGAAAGGACAATTCTCTACTAACACTGGGAGGGGCAGACCTCCTAACGAAAGGGGACAATATCCAGCTGCCAATAATGTGGTTAGTGAATCTGAACACAACCATAGATCTGACCTTGATCACAACAGCGGTATGAGTTCAGGGAATCATAGTGGAAGCCAAGGATATGTAAGTTCAGGGAATCATGGTGGAAGCCAAGGTTATGGGAGAGGAAATAGTCAGGTTGATCAAACTGATTACCAAAGAGGAATGACTGTCTTACATGAACAATATAACCAGATTTTAACTATGCTTGGACAAACTAATGTACATAGAGGCACTGAAGGACCATCTACATCTCATTCATCTTATTCAAATGCAAATTTAGCTCAGAAATATCCCACAACAGGTACAACTACTGCACTCACAAGCCATTTTACTCACACGGACTGGATTATAGATTCATGAGCCACAAATCACATGACACCACATGCTGATATGCTTGTTCAGAAACAGACTCTTTCACCAAATAATCCTAGAACTGTACAATTACCAAATGGCACCACTACTCCTATCACACACACTGGTTCAAGTAGTTTGACTAAACATGATACTCTCAATAATGTTCTCCTTATTCCAGAGTTTAAGTTCAATCTACTATCTGTGTCAAAAATGACTAAAGACCTGCAATGTGTTGTGTATTTCTTTCCTGACTTTGTTGTCATTCAGGACCTCTCAAGTGGGCAGGTGAATGTGATTGGTAAGGAGCATGCTGGGCTCTATCATCTCCCTTCTCATACTTACTCCACAAACACACAATGTCAGTCACATCTAGCACACACTGCTGCTGCCTCTTCTTCAACAGACTCTCAGATTCAATTGTGGCATCAAAGACTAGGACATACATCATCCAGTGTGTTAGCTCATACTCTTGATTTTGCTACCAGTAAATGTTCTCAAACTGTATACACATGCACCATATGCCCTTTAGCTAAGCAACATAGACTTCATTTTCCTCATAGCACTTCCATTTCTTCAGTTGTTACATATAGATGTTTGGGGTCCCTTCAACACTCCCACATATGATTGTAACGGATTCTTTGTTACCATAGTGGATGATTGTACTAGGATGTTATGGATATTTCTAATAAAATCCAAAAGTGATGTTTGTGTTGTGTTGAAAAACTTCTTTACTTTGGTCAAAACTCAGTTTAACTTTGTTGTTAAATCCATTAGAACTAATAATGGGTCAGAGTTTGTCAATACTGAGTGTCATCAATTGCTTACCAGTCTGGGTATTAGTCATCACAAGACTTATATTCATACTCCTCAACAAAATGGGATTGCTGAAAGGAAACACAAACACATACTTGAAATGGCAAGGGCAATCAGGTTTCAGGGTCATATCCCAATCAGATTTTGGGGTCACTGCATTCTCAGTGCTGCATACATTATCAACAGGTTGTCTACACCTGTGTTACATGGGAAATCACCTTATGAGGTGTTTCACAAGAAGAAACCTTCTCTTTTACATATGAGAGTCTTAGGTTGCCTTTGTTATGCCAAAAAACATGTACATCACTAATAAATTTCACCCTAGAAATGTGATTGGTATTCATATGGGTTAAAATGATCTTACAAAGGGGTATTTGTTGTATAACTTGCGAGATAAGAATTTCTTCCTCAACAGAGATGTTGAATTCAGAGAGTCTATATTCCCTTTTGTTGTGCCTACATCTAGTTCCTGGCAATTGTTTCCCTCTACTCATATACCATCTGACCATGATCCTCGTTATGATCCTGGTTCAGTGCCTATAGAGGAATCATGTGTGTCATTTGTTGTGCCTGTACTTGAAGTTCCTGCTCAGAGGAAGTCTCACAGGATCAGCAGAACTCCATTATGGCTTCAAGATTATGTTGCCTCTATTCGACTCAGTCCTATCAAGCCATTATACTCCATTGATCAGTACATTGGCTATGATCATTTATCCAGCTCTTATAAGGCCTTTCTTTCTTCCTTTGGGACTGATGTTGAACCTATCACTTTTGAGGAAGCTTGCAAGGACTCTAGGTGGGTTGAGGCAATACAGGCTGAGATATCAGCCTTGGAGGATCATAAGACTTGGTGAGTGGTTTCCTTACCTTCTCACAAAAAGGCTATTGGCTGCAAGTGGATATTCAAGATTAAGTATAAGGCTTCTGGAGAAGTTGAGAGATTTAAAGCCAGACTAGTTGTCAAAGGGTTCAAGAGGGAAGGTTTAGACTACCATGAGACTTTTTCTCCAGTTGTGAAAATGGTCACTATCAGGAGTGTGTCAGCTCTGGCTGCTTCTGAACACTGGCATGTTCATCAAATGGATGTCTCCAATGTTTTTCTTCAGGGAGATCTTTTTGATGAAGTCTATATGACTCTGCCTCAGGGATTTCAGCTTCCACAGGAATTCATTGTGCATGGGGGAAACCTGTATGTAAGCTCAATAAATCCCTCTATGGGTTGAAGCAGGCTCCTAGACAATGGAATGTAAAACTCACTGAAGCTCTTATCAGACTTGGTTTTGTTCAAATTCTTTTGGACTACTAATTGTTCATTAAAAGGACTGGTACATCACTAGTACTAATTCTTGTATATGTGGATGATATGATGATTACTGGTAATGAGCTTAAACTCATTCAACACACCAAAAAGATCCTCCAAGATACCTTCAAGATGAAGGATTTAGGAGACCTCAGATACTTTCTTGGGATTGAATTTGCAAGGTCACAAGCAGGTATTGTTATGCATCAAAGAAAGTACACATTGGAAATTATTTCTGAAGCTGGCATTGGAGCAGCAAAACCAGCTGCCACTCCTCTTGATCCTTATGTCCAGTTGACAACCAGAGAATATGATGAAATAAATGGAAAAGGCAAAGGATGATAAACTACTTAAAGATGCTACAATATATAGAAGGTTAGTTGGCAAACTGTTATATCTAAATGTCACAAGACCAAACATTCCCTTTGCTACACAAACCTTGAGTCAGTTCCTTCACCAACCTAAGCAGTCTCATCTTAATGCTGCACTCAAAGTTGTGAGATACATAAAAGGACAAGCTGGACTAGGTGTCCTGTTATCTAGCAAGAGAAACAATCAACTGAATGTATATTGTGATTCAGACTGGGGAGCATGCCTACATACTAGAAGATCAGTTTCTGGTTTTATGGTGAAGCTGAGAGATTCACTAATATCCTGGAAGTCAAAGAAACAAGGAACAATATCTAGAAGTTCAGCTGAAGCAGAATATAAGAGCATGTCAAGTGCTGTAGCTGAAGTTGTTTGGATAGTGAGGTTATTCAAAGAACTAGGTGCTGATGTTCAAATTCCCGTGACTATTCACTGTGATAGCAAGTCAGCAATTCAAATTGCAGCAAATCCAGTTCTTCATGAAAGAACAAAACATATTGAATTGGATTGCCATTTCATAAGGGAGAAAATACAACAAGGATTAGTGGAAACAAAGTATTTGAATACTAAGGAGCAAGAAGCTGATATATTAACTAAAGGTCTGGGGAAGTCTCAACATGAATACTTAATGTCCAAGTTTGGTGTATTAAATTTGTTCATACCTTCAAACTTGAGGGGGAGTATTGAAGAAGGTATTACATAGGACCTACATGTAATTAGTAAGAGTTTGTATGTAATTAATAGAAGTTAGAGGGTTAGTTAGTAAAGAATTGGTTAGATTAGTTACAACAAGATTCCTACTTAGTTTGTATAAATGTAGCACATTACTGATTCATTTGTTTTTCTATTAAGCAATGAAATTCATTTCTCTTTCTCTCTAATTCTTCTTCTTTACGTCTAGAACATTCCTAATCAAAGGGAACTGTTCTTCAAGATATCTTCTTCAAGATATCTAACATAACGGGAGAGTGAGAAACACACCTCAAGTAATATGTGATGGTGTGCATGTATACACACATTTGGTCCAATCACCATTGAAGTCATATGTTTAATAATATATATTAAACACCTTCATTTAGTTTTTGAACATTTATAAAAATGAAAATTAAACAATTTCTTTCTATATTCTGAATAGGAATTTTTGCCGTCTCTACGCTGGCTAGATCTCAGCTTCTCCAGTAGGCTAGTGGGAACACCAGATTTTACGGGGATGCCAAATTTGGAGCGTTTGAATCTGGAGGAATGTAGGAGTCTTAAAAAAGTTCACCCTTCTCTGGGAAATTGCAAAAAACTCATTAAGTTAAGTTTGTATCGTTGTGAAAGCCTTGAGAGGTTTCCATGCATTAACGTGGAGTCTCTTGAACATCTGAATCTAGAGGAATGCTTTAGATTGGAGGAATTTCCAGAAATCATTGGAAGAATGAAGTTGGAGTTAAAGATTAAGGTGAAATGCATTGGGATAAGAGAAATACCATCATATATTATTCAACACCAAGCACATCTTACAGAGCTAGATTTGTCAGACATGGAAAAACTTGTAGCTCTTCCAAGCAACATTGGCATGTTGAAAGGTTTGGTGAAGCTAGATGTCTCGTTATGCTCAAAACTTGGAAGCTTGCCAGAAGAGATAGGTGATTTAGAGAACTTGGTGAAACTTGATGCCAGCTATACTCGAATTTCACAACCTCCGTCTTCCATCATCCGCTTGAACAATCTTATAGTCTTGAGTTTTGAAGGACTATGCTTAGAAGATGGAGAGTACTTTGTGTTCCCTCGGGTGAATGAAGGGTTACGCTCATTGAAAATTCTGAATCTCAATTTTTGCAATATAATAGATGGAGGACTTCCGGAAGACATTGGATGCTTATCATCTTTGAAAGAGCTGCATCTCAGTGGAAATGATTTTGAACATTTGCCTGGAAGCATTGCCCAACTTGGTGCTCTTCAAACCTTGTACTTAACATATTGCGAAAGGATTACACAGCTGCCAAAATTTCCAGAGCACTTAAATACAATATTTGCAGATTGGAGCAGTGATTTGATCAGTAATTCGTTGTTTCAGAATATCTCATCATTGCAGCAGCATGACATCTCTGCTTCAGATTCCTTGTCACTAAAAGCACTTATGAGTCGGGTGGAGAATATCCCAAGTTGGTTCCACCATCGGGGATTTGATAAAAGTGTATCAGTCAATTTGCCTGAAAATTGGTACGTACGTGATAACTTCTTGGGATTTGCTGTATGTTACTCTGACAAATTAATTGACATCACAGTTCACTTGATTCCTTTATGTGATGATGGGACCTCGGGTATCACCCAGAAATTTGCCTTATCCAACCATTCAGAATATAATCCTAAGAATTACTCCTGCTATTTTTTTTTGGTACCACTTGCTGGCTTATGGGATACATGTAAGGCAAATGGGAAAACACCAAATGACTATGTGCTTATTAGGTTATGTTTTTCTGGAGAAATGAAGAAGTATGGATTACGTTTGTTGTATAAAGATTATCCTCAGAAACATTGTAATATTCTTGGGAGAGTGGCCAGTCTCTTCTGCTGCATTAACTGATCTCTTTTAATAATATTGTAATTACTTAACTCTTCTCATTTATGGTTATGGACCATAGCACTATCTTCGATTCGTTGTTTATGAGCGTGCTGTCGAGATAAAGAAATTACTGTAATTTTACCCTTCTTTTTCACTGCAGCTTCGTCTGTTTGTACTTTTATCTGTCCATTGTGCACCTATTTTACTGAGGAATTTGGAGCCACATAATCTAAGGGACTAACTCTAGTACCTTAATTCAGCATTTGACTCTTAAATGTTTACAAACAACTCTCCATGAAGATAAACTCTCTTCTTGTTACAAGCCTCGCTGTGCACGCCTTAACAAAACCTAGGATTATTAGAGAGTTGTCATCAGAACATTTAGAGTTAACTGTTAAGCAAGGTACTAGAGTTAGATTACACGGAAATTTTTAAAAGTAAATGACCGAAGCTTTGGATTATGAATACACAAATATTCTTTCAATCTTAAAGTCTAGAGTCTTGTTAGCAGTGCAAACTGAGAAGAAGAAGATGGTATTTTGAGAACAGAACCGGTGAGACTGCCTATGTAGGACACATGTTTCCTCTGCCTGAGAAAGAGATTCGTGAAAGAACAAATTGCAGATGAATGGCAAGATAACTTTGCCATATTTAAATATCATTTTGAAATATAATCACATTTTCCATTTGCTAACCCGTAGGCCATAGATGACCCCCAAAAGGAAAATTGTAGATGAACTGTGATATAGACATATTAACTATTCGAGTGACCACATATACACCTTTTATTGACATGAGTGTGTCTTATGAATATCCAATCTGACCTGGCAACATGCATATTCCTTTCTTGGATCTTATTCTAAAGTTGGCTTTGTCCATATTGAAAAATCCTAAAAGAGTCTTCGATAGCGCCAAACTTAGCCAGAGCATCTGCAATACATAGTATTAGCCTCCTGATAATACTATATTGAGAAGACATAGTTTCTCCTTAATTTTCATATTCCAGTGTTTCAATTTCCAGGGAGGCTTTACCACATCTAGCCGAGCACCTTTTCTTCCAACACATTTCTGTTTTGGTAAACAAAATCAATAAACTAATTTTTTGCATACTTTTGTTTATAATAGCTAAATGAGATTTAAATATCAAATATTAGTAGACATGTATAACAAGACCACCTCACTAAAACATTGATGAAATTTTCATACAAACGCTATCACTATAACGAGGTTTGTCTTTCCGTCAAGTTTAAGGGATTTTAGGTATTCTATCTTTTAGTTATAATTACAATTATATTAGTTTTGGAACATTAAATTTTGATATAACAATAATGTAAAACAATTTCTGATTTCACACAAAATAATGTGTTTGACTCTTGTAATCCAAACACCGTTGCACATTTTTCATCGGAGGGGGTAAATTAGACACAACGGTCATTTGATGCCCGCAAATACAAAAAGAAATAGCTTCCTATCTCAGTTTCTATGTGTTCTCAATAACAGCATTTGCCATCTCTGCAAAAGCTAGACCTCAGGGGCTCTAAAAGGCTGATGTGAGCACCAGATTTCACAGGGATGCCAAATTTGAAGTATTTGAATCTTCGAAGTTGTAGTAATCTTAAAGAGGTTTACCATTCCCAAGGATGTTCCAAAAAACTCATTGAGTTATGCTTGGATGTTTGTGAAAACCTTAAAAGGTTTCCATTTTTTAGCGGGGAATCTCTTGAATCTCTGGAACTATCTTTCTGTTCTACCATCATCTGTTAAGTACCTAGCTCATACTACCAAGCAAAATTTGAGTTCTATGGAAAACCTTATATCACTTCCAAGCAGCATTGGCTTGTTGAAAAGCTTGGTGGAGCTACATGTGTTGAATTTCTATAAACTTGAAAGCTTGCCAGAAGAGATAGGAGATTTAGAAAATTTGGAGCTGCTTGCTGCTCAGTGGTGTCTCATTTCATGACCTCCCTCTTCCATTGTCCGCTTCAACAAGCTTAAACACTTGACTTCTGCAAAACAAAATTCAGAAGTTGGCCTGGAAGATGGATTGTTCTTCGTGTTCCCTCAGGTGAATGTCGGGTTTCTCTCATTGGAAAAACTTGATCTCAGATACAGCAATTTAATCCAGGGAGGACTTTCGAAAGACATTGGATCCTTATCATCTTTGAAAGTGTTGAATCTCACTGGAAATAATTTTGAACATTTGCCTCAAAGCGTAGCCCAGCTTGGTGCTGTTCAACGCTTGTCCCTATCATGTAGCAAGAGGTTCAAAGAGTTTCCAGGTTTCACGCGGATGCCAAACTTGAACACTTAGATTCTGTCAAATTGTATGAATCTAGAACAGTTAGTAGATTTCACGGGGATGCCAAATTTATGGACTTTAGATCTCTCAAATTGTATGAATCTTGAAGAGGTTCATTATTCCCAATGTGTTTTTGAAAATCTCTATGGTTTAACTTTACTTTATGTATACAACTTAAGAGGTTTCCGGGTCTTTACATTGATTCTCTTAAGTATGTATAACTGGGGGATTGCTCTAGTTTAGAAAATATTCCGGAAATCATTGGAAGCATGAAAGCGAAGTCGGATATTCACATGCTAGACAGTGTGATAAGGGATCTAAATTCGATGTGTATGTCATTTACACATTCCTTGTCTCAGGATATCGTTTCCTTGAAGCAAGGTGTTAGGCAATTGGCATTTTTACTTCCAGCTTATTCTTTTTACTGTTTTTTTTTTTTTTTAACTTATTTTAGTTTACTGTTTCCCTATTTTCTAGAAAAAGACTAAGTCAAAGTTAGTTGCTTAATTTTCTGAAGTTAGTCGCCCTTTATGGTTGATTAGTGGGTCATTTTCTTATTCAGTTTTTATCCACTTTTTAAATTATCTGTTAGACAGGAAATAGTTATCTTTTTTCTTGTATACTTTCTGATGTTCTCCATGTTAATGATATGCTGCAATTTTAATGAGTTCTTTGTGCTTTAATACTTCAATTCAGTTGAAGGAGAGTTCAATGTTTTAATAGTTTCATTAGAGCCTCTGGTTAATCTTATCGGACCAAAAAGTTTTAAACTAAAACACAAATGACATCCAACAACCTACCTTTAAATCCACCATTCACTCTCACCGGTGGAAATTACCAAATTTGATCTATGAAGATGCAAGCTTTTCTGGAAGCTTATGAACTTTGGAAAATTGTGACGGAAGATAAATCAGTTGTTGCTCTACAAACAAATTCTACCTTGTCTCAAATCAAATCCAACAATGAAAAGAAGACAAAGAAATCTAAAGCCAAGAAACGTTGCTTATGCAGAATGTTGTGGCAGATTCTGTGTTCTATGGAATGACTTGTAAAACAACAAAAGAGGCTTGAGATAGGTTGAAAGAACAATATCAAGGCAGCAATAGAACACATCAAATGCAGGTGTTGAATCCAAAAAGAGAGTTCAAGTCCCTAAATATGTAGGAGGACGAAACAATCAGCAAGTGTATTGATCGAATATCCTTAATTGTTAATAACATTAGACTTCTTGGTGAAGAATTTACAGACAAACGGATTGCGGAGAAAGTTCTTGTGACTCTTCCTGAGAGGTTTGAATATTAAATTTCTTCTCTTAAGAATCCAAGGACATGAGAAAACTCTCACTAGGTGAACTAATGAGTGCTCTTCAAGCACAAGAACAAAGAAGGACTATGAGACGGAACAAGTTCAGTGAAAGACCTTTCTTTGTTCAAAAGCAAAACTTTTGTAAAGGAAAGCAACAGTTCAACCAAAAGAATAAGGGCAAGCATGATGGAGGAAACAATAGTGGAGATGTGAAACAAAAGTTTCCTCCATGCAAACATTGCAAAAAAAAACGACACATCAGGAGAAGTATTGTTGGTGGAGAGTCGATGCTATATGCAACAACTGTAAGCAGACGGGGCACATATCCAAAAAAATTGCAAATCAAGAGTAAAGGTTTCTGAAGCTTTGCAAGCACAACTAGTAGAAGTTGCATTCGCACATGAGGAGCAACTCTTTGCAATTTCATACTTTTCAACCAATGAATCCTCTTATTCGTGACTTTTTGATAGTTGTTGCACACATCACTTGTGAAATAATGCTGAAATGTTCAAATTCCTTGATGATACTTACAAATCAAAAGTAAAAGTGGGAAATGGTGAGACTGTAGAAGTCAAAGGCAGAGGTGCATTGTCTATCTCAACTATATCAGGTATCAAAACTATTCCTGATGTTTTGTACAAACCTGATGAGTCAATTTTTTTTAGCAATGGATAAATGCTTGAAAATAATTATTCTTTACATTTTAAGAATCGTGAATGTCATACCCCCGAGCATACACCTTGGACATGGACGGCACTTGGAGACCATTGTTGGTCCCAAGCAAGCCCTATGATACATATGAATCAATAGAATACACGAAAGCTATAATAGATAAACCTTTAAAACATATAAAGAACTTAAAACAATGCTTGGAAATACTTGATATAAATAGTTAAATGTTTAGCAAAAAATCTGAGAAAGTACTGAAAACTAACTCTGTCTACCCATGAAGCCTTTACTGTCTAAAGATAGGCGATGAGACAAGGCTCACAACACCTCAAAATACTACAAAAACCAAACAATAAACTAGAGTCCTCCGAAAGCAAGGACGTCTCACAAAAAGCTGACGAGCGGATGATGTGATATCAACAGAATGTCTGTTGATGATCCTAAGTATCTTAATCATCATCATGAAGTGATATAAGTAAAATGACATCAACACATTTAATAAGAGTATGCAATAAGGCTGAATAAAGTAAATAACTGACTGAAGGACTGAAATCAACTCAACTGAATCAATATATGAATATGAAGTGAAAATCATTTAAGCTTTACAATAAGATAAGCAATAAAATTAATATGAACATAATAATACACTTTACTCTGTTGGGAGCTTCTCTAAATCACAACCATCACTATGAGCCTAGCAA